CCTCCACAAGACTGGAAAGGACTATGGGTGAATTGCCAAGCAGCTTGGTGAAACAAGGTCCACTGTTGGAGCAATCATTAGAAAATGGAAGAAGCTAAACATGACTGTCTATCCCACTCGGACTGGGGCTCCATGCAAGATCTCACCTCGTAGGGCCTGAATGATGCTAAGAAAGGTGAGAAATCAACCCAGAACTACACGAGAGGAGCTGGCCCCTGACCTGAAAAGAGCTGGGACCACCGTTTCCATGGTTACTGTTGGTAATACACTAAGACGTTGTGGTTTGAAATCCTGCATGGCTTGGAAGGTTCCCCTGCTTAAACAGCACATGTCAAGGCCCGCTTTAAGTTTGCCAATTAGCATTTGGATGATCCAGATGAGTCATGGGAGAAAGTCATGGGGTCAGATGAGACAAAAATAGAACTTTTTGGTTATAATTCCACTAACCGTGTTTAAGTACCATCCCAGGAACACTATCCCTACTGTGAAGCATGGGGGTGGTAGAATCATGCTTTGGGCCTGTTTTTCTGCACATGGGACAGGGTGACTGCACTGTATTAAGGAGAGGATGAGCGGGGCCATGTACTGCTAAATTTTAAATAAATAAATTGAACATTATTGATCTCACATTGGAGAAATGTATCTCTGCATTTAACCCATCCCCTTGGGGAGCAGTGGGCTGCCATTGTGCGGCGCCCAGGGAGCAGTGTGGGGTTAAGGGTCATGCTCAGGGACCCAGAGTGGCAGACTGGGGGTGTGGGGGATCTTTGGAGGGAGCTCAAACTCTGTTTCTCCCAGGAACCTGACTTTTCTAGAGAAGATCTACCGGGAGGAGTGGGCCAAAATCCCTCCTGCAGTGTGTGCAAACCTGGTGAAAAACTACAGGAAAAAATTTGACCTCTGTTATTGCAAACAAAGGCTACTGTACCGAAATTTGCAGCTGTATCATACAAATAAATAGTTTCAAAAAATCACACATTGTGCTTTCTGGATTATTTATTTATTTTTTTTATTATGTCTCTCACAGTGGACATGCACCTATGATGACAATTCCAGACCCCTCCATGGTTTTTAAGAGGGAGAACTTGCAAAATAGCACTTTTCCTCAATGTTGTTGGGATCTGGAGTTTTGTCCACTTTCTCCACCAGAGGGCGCACGAGATCTCCTGGGGGCATGAGCTGACTGCTACACCTGTCTTCAATCTGCCAATCAGGAGACTCCTTCTTAAGGAGGCAGAGACTGACACTCCAGTGCCAGAGTGTTAGCCAGTAATGGTAAAGCTAGACCTGAGCCAACCTGCCTGATCTTATCTCTGTGTTTTGTGTGAACCTGCCTGATCCAGTTCTCTCTCTCTGCCTACAGAACCTGACCTGTCTGAAAACCTGAAACCGGGAAAATGACTCAGTCTGGAATCTGCCTGCCTGCATTCGGTCAGTCTCTGCCTGCCGACAAACCTCTGGACCCTCAGGGTTACCCCCCTCCTGCTGATCTGACCCGCCCCAGAGCAGGTATTAACTCAATCACCTGACAAACTACTGGATCCCTGGAAATCCCCTAACCTCTCTGTTCTCCTTAGTGGTGATCCTCCCGTGACCAGTCGGACCAACCCAGTTCCAGTGCACATTTGAAAACTCTGTGAATAAATCTTTGAACTTTTTCTCTGTCTCCTGAGTGTTCTCTGCATGTGGGTTAGACATCTCAACCCCATCATGACAACTGTATGCTTATTGACGTTATAACATTAAGAACGAGTTGTTTAAATATACATAGGTGGTGGTGCATCCAATGGAAGACACCTTGTTTTGTCCCCATCTTTGAATATGGTAGCCGAAAAGGGGACACACTGGTTGACCTCAGGACTCANTGTTGGAGCAATCATTAGAAAATGGAAGAAGCTAAACATGACTGTCTATCCCACTCGGACTGGGGCTCCATGCAAGATCTCACCTCGTAGGGCCTCAATGATCCTAAGAAAGGTGAGAAATCAACCCAGAAGTACATGGGACGAGCTGGTCGATGACCTAAGAAGAGCTGGGACCCCCGTTTCTATGGTTACTGTTGGTAATACACTAAGACGTCATGGTTTGAAATCCTGCATGGCTTGGAAGGTTCCCCTGCTTAAACCCTCACATTTCAAAGTCCGCCTTAAGTTTGCCAGTTAGCATTTGGATGATCCAGATGAGTCATCGGAGAAAGTCATGGGGTCAGATGAGACCAAAATATAACTTTTTTGGTCATAATTCCACTAACTGTGATTGGAGGGAGAAGAATAATGAGTACTATCCCAAGAACACTATCCCTACTGTGAAGCATGGGGGTGGTAGAATCATGCTTTGACCCTGTTTTTCTGCACATGGGACAGGGCGACTGCACTGTATTAAGGAGAGGATGACCAGCACCATGTACTGCTAAATTTTGGGGGAACATCCTCCTTCCCTCAGTTAGAGCATTGAAGATGGAAGGAGGCTGGGTCTTCCAACATGACAATGACCTGAAGCCCACAGCCAGGATAACCAAGGAGTGACTCTGGAAGAAGCATATCAAGGTTCTGACAGGGCCTAGCCAGTCTCCAGACCTAAACCCAATAGAGAATCTTTGGAGGGAGCTCAAACTCTGTTTCTCCCGGAACCTGACTTTTCTAGAGAAGATCTACATGGAGGAGTGGGCCAAAATCCCTCCTGCAGTGTGTGCAAACCTGCTGAAAAACTACAGGAAAAATTTGACCTCTGTTATTGCAAACAAAGGCTACTGTACTGAAATTTGCAGCTGTATCATACAAATAAATAGTTTCAAAAGATCACACATTGTGATTTCTGGATTATTATTATTATTTTTTTTGATTATGTCTCTCACAGTGGACATGCACCTATGATGACAATTCCAGACCCCTCCATGGTTTCTAAGAGGTAGAACTTGCAAAATAGCACTTTTCCTCACTGTATGCTTATTGACGTTATGACGTTAAGAACGAGTTGTTTAAATATACACAGGTGGTGGTGCATCCAATGGAAGACACCTTGTTTTGTCCCCATCTTTGAATATGGTAGCCGAAAAGGGGACACATTGGTTGACCTCAGGACTCAATTATGCTTGAAAAATGTAGGTTCCTGGCAGATATGAGATGCTCTGACATGTCTGCAGCATTAATACTGGAAAGATGCATGGATGGATGGATCAATAGAAACTTTAGGCTTCAACACATTGAGGATTTTTTTGCAATCTAAAATATTAAAACAAAACAAATCTGTCAGGGTTTACTTTCTCACTGCCCTGCAGCTATGAAAGGGCTCACCTGTGTTCCTCTGGTAGCTGCTGCAGGATGAAACATCACCAGCTCAGTGGTTGCCTGGATACAGATCTTCCATGGAAATTGTGAGGACATGTGGAGACTGTAGCTGTGTCTGTCTCTCTGCTGCTCCACCTGCCCTTCAGAGTTATTCTTCTCTTTACTAATAATTAAGTTCATTTTAACAGCGGCTGACTTGAGTTTGCTCCAATTTATCTGCTGCCAAACATCTTCAAACATATCCAGAGACTGCATATGTTATTACTGCATCACCCAGGTATGGATCAGACTATTAGTTATTTTCCAACTCATTAATCTGTTTAAATTAGTGATCAAATTAACTGAAGGTTTGGAGATGTTTTGGTAGAGATTCAAGCTTTTCTGATTTTATTTTTAAATTCTTTAACAGAGTTCTTCAACCTTCCAGCCATAAATATCTACGTGATTTTATTGGATTTTACGTAACAGGTCTATTGCATAATTATGTAGCAGAAGAAACATTTTGTTTGGTTATAAAACAAATACAAAAAAGGTGATGCATGTGAACTTTAGAGAAACCTTTTCACCTGCAGGTCCGGTTGAAGGTTTTCAGTGTTTGTTTCTAACAGCTTCAAACATCAGACCATATTTCAGAAAAGAACCACCATCCTACCCTGAGTAGTAACCGGATTCTCTGAGTAGTTCTACCTTCTCTCCCCTAGATTCATATCACCTAGTTCAGATCAGGTGATATCAATCTGGTAACTAAACTCAACATCTAATCAAGAAGCCTTCATCAATGGATAGCAGATAAAGAGATTCAACGTGGAAACTGACAGCTCAGTTTGTTAAAAAACCGCAGAGCAAAGGGAATGAGGAAGAAAAGTGGGCGGAGTCATTCAAAGGATCCCTCTCTTCTCATTGGTTCCTATAACCATGAGGCGTTGAAACCAACTAAGTAGTCAGAGGAGCAGGTTACTTTGCATTTTGACATATTCTAGTTTATTCATCCACACTTAAACTGATACAATTTATTTATAAATAAAGATTTTTAAATCAAATTTCTTCCTAATCTTTCTGGTAAGGAGCAAAGTCACAGGAATGGTTTTTGGCCTTGGATGGCAGTGGGTGTGAGGAGGAAGGTTGGAGATCCTGAAGGCCTGAGGTGGAAAACTGAGGCGGAGGAATGGGAAGGCAGTTCACCGTGCCAGACACAACCGAACAACGCTAAACTAGTACTAATTCAACAGTTGGGCTCGGCTCCGATAGTTTTTCTGTATTTGCACAGATTTAATATTTTCAAATTTCTCTTTTTTGTATTGAGTTTTATAATTGGCATTCTTTTCAAATAGTGTTTAAGAGATCAGCTTCTCTTTACTGGGGTGGCCTTTCCTCTGAACTGAGCAGCATTTCTATTGGTCTGCATGTACGCCAGAAACAACGTTTTCATCGGACAAGAACAAGAGTTTGTATTGGGCTCTCTGTACACTGGAAAAAAATCAAAATTCATCATTTTTTCTTAAAATAAGTGCATTTGTTCTTGGATTGAGGAGGTAAAAGAGACATTTTGCCAATAGAATAAGAAAATTTACATTTAAAATAAGAAAATACAATTGCATTCTTATTTCAAGTGCATTTTATCTATTTTATAGGAATAGTACACCCAAAACATGATTAGCCTTCATTTTCTACACACCCCCATGCTGAACAACACTCTGGAGCACTTTTTTGATATCTCAAATGCATCTGGAGATCTGGGAGGCTTCTTGCTGTCTGCTGACATTCAAATAATGGAGGTTTATGGCGCCCGAGGCAGAAAGGTCCATAAAAGTCCACAGAAAACGTGTCAATATTCCTCCATACTGCTCGTCCAATGTATTCCAAGTGTCCTGAGTGGGTAGCGTCCATAATTTACTCGAAACGAAGTCATTTAGAATGTTTTTAGAGCATAAACAGTAGTGTATAGGATTTCCTAAAAGCACGTTCCCGAGTCTACGGAAACCGCGGCAGACCAAACCAGATGAAAGTGCGCATTCAGCTCAGCAAAGAACTCATGCTCTTCCTCAACACTGAAGTCCTCAGACATTTTTCTTTCGTTGTTTCTTTCTTTGCACAGGTAAACAGCACATTTCTTCTTCTACGCTTGCATTATCGGCAGAGCAGACGCTGAATGGCCTATGTTGGTGATAGACGGGCCAAATAAACCAATCAGATCAACGAAGCATATGACGTACTAACAGAGCGACGACGGAAACACAACCACAAGCCAGGCTACTCTTGCCGAAACCAGTCGGGAGAAGAGCAAAAACATCTTTTCCTCTGAGAAAAGCCTCCAGAGCAGTGTTTTGCTCTTCTTTCAGTAAAGAAATACTCTGTAATTCCGATAAAACTTGCTCGATAGCCACGCTAACGCTAGTTTCATCGGCTGAAGCCGCCATGTTCTTTAGACTGAACTGTCGCGCTTCTCGTTGCGTCACACCTCAACCCGCCTCAAAGCCAACGCTGATTGGACGTTCGTTTGGTGAACGGCTCCACATTTTCTTCAACAGAGAGTCTCCAGACTGATCTGCGAGTGAAACCTTGAAAGCTCGCGAGATCAGGATGGTCTCACGAGGCTAGGCTGATGGACCTACTGTTACTCCACCCGAACGCTTTCATCACTACAAAAAATTTTAATCTCAATAAGTAATTTTTTCTTGTACTGAGTGAGACACTTTGCCAATGGAACAAGACAATTTACATTTAAAATAAGAAAAAAATATTTTACTGTCTTATTTAGGTGCATATTATCTAATTATCATATTATAAAAGTAAAAATTCTCATTCCATTGGCAAATCATTTGATTTACCTGCTCAAATTAAGGATAAAAACACAAAATTTAAGAATTTTTTTTACTTATTTCTAGATTGTTTTTGTAGTGATTAGTTTTTGTATTTTCCAAAAATGAGCTCAAACATATATTTATTGAATGCTTTCCTATTGTTGGGAAAACAAGAGAACCATAACACACTGATATTTATATTTATAGATAGTTCGAGAGATGTCTTTTAGTGTTTAGTATATATATATATATATATATATATATATATATATATATATATATATATATATATATATATATATATATATAGGGCCCAAAAACATTAATGTAAAAAAATGTAACAAATAACAGCTGATTCTGATGCCAAAATCAATATATCATGCATCCTTAGAAGTACAATTTCAATACCATCCATCCATCCAGAAAAATATGGATATGCTGCATTTAATTACAGCATAGCATTTTTTTTTTCTTGTAAACTTTCTGGTAAACTTGGAGATATATTTTATTGCATGTTGCATATCCCAGTAAATCTGTCTCACCTTTAAATCTGCAGCTCTCCCTACTTCTCTCTGTGCCCTATTTAAAAAAGATTTATGAACCTCTTTAGTAATATAATGATGCCAGAAACTAAATTTCAAGATGTGTAGAAGCTCTGCAGCCTGATTCTATCTGTACAATTAGAAAACATGTTAATATTAACCTGTAACTGAGAGTCATGGTCCTCTGACAGG